GGCTTTGGCTTTGAATCCCTTAGGACGCGCCATACTTGGTCCGCGTAATCCGTTTGATCCGCTTGATCCGCTTCGCCATTGGTCAATTCAGTAAACTAACCAGTAGTTAAGTGGGTGAAGCGGATCGAGCGGATCAAGAGGACAACCGATTCGCTATTGGTCGGTTCAGTTGACCAATGACGAAACGGAACAAGTATGGCGTGTGCCTTACAAAGAGCATGTTCCATTTTTGATAGTTGAGAATCAACCTTTTTAGGCGACAGAAACGATGAAACACGTGTTCCAGTGCTACTTTTCAGTATTGAAACGAGTGCCGAATGTAGCATTGTTAGAACCTGTGCTCGAGGGCCTGAGCAAGTTTGCTCACCTTCTAGGTGTTGAATTTTTTGAGGACATTGTGCTTACGATGGAAGGTTTGGTTGATAAAGAGGTAGGTGCACTTCGGTAATGTATTGGTGGTCTCTTGGTCAATTTGTCTTTCAGAACTTACGCTTGCTCGATCGCTTATACTGCATTAACACAGTTTTTGTGATTTTGTCGGGTGAAGGACAACTTTTGAACGTTGATCCCTCTAGATTTTATCGATCAGTCTATCGTCTTATAAATCAGTTGCCGTTTGAGAAAAGACCAGGTATTTCGAAGTGATGTATACAAATATGAATGTATAGTCAAATTCCCATATATCCAGAAGCGAGGCAAAAACAAATCACTATGATGGCGAAAGCGCTTGACTTGATGATCAATGAAAGAAGGAAACAGGTAATTCATGGCTCTTGTACTGATGTGCCGAAATTTCATGATAATTTCGTTACATTCTAGCTACCGTTATCCAGAGTTGCAGCATTTGTGAAAAGGCTGTTGGGTGTTGCGACAGTTCTAGATGACATTTCAGCCCTATGTCTGGTCGCCTTGGTTCGGAGCTTCTTCATCGTAAGTTTTTCTCTAGTGAGATTTTGGAGAGCTGAATTTTGAAGAGTGCAACAATCTAGGCCCATTCAAAACTGGTCCAATTAGTGGAAGAGGACGATGCGGAAGGAGGAGCCGTTGGAGTTTTTCGAGCCGATATCGATGATCCTGACGTTTCAAATGCACTTGGTAGCAGTGTACGACCGGAGCTGAAGATGTTGACTCGAGTACGGGAAAAAGCCATCAGAAGTTTCAATTCATAAATGCATATTCTTCAGCGGCGCCACCGATCAATAAATCAATTCGCGCAGAATATACTTCAGTCGGTGCCATCGACTGGTCCGTATCGATTGAACCCCCAACTTACTTCCATGTACGTTTTAGGCTTATCTTTTGAAAACCAGATAGGCGGCTGAGAGGCGGGG